TTTCAGCCGGCTGTCAGATGGATGTCAACCAGCACCCCAGGTCTTTTTCCACTTGGCTGCTTTCTAACCACCCCTCCCCTAGCCTGTAATGCTGCATGGGGTTTTTGCTGCTGAAGTGCAGGACCTGGCACTTGTTCTGGTTGAAGCTCATGCCGATGGTCTCAGCCCATCAATCCAGCCTGTCCTGGTCCCTCTGCAGAGCCTTCCTACCCTCCAGTAGATCAACACCCTCACCCAACTTGATGTCATCTGCAAATTTACTGAGGGTGCACTCAACGCCCTCATCTAGATCATCTATAAAGACATTAAACAGCACTGGCCCCAAAACTGAGCCCTGGGGAACACCGCTAGTAACCGTCTGCCAACTGGATTTAGCTCCACTGACCACAACTCTCTGGGCCCGGCCATCCAGCCAGTTTTTTACCCATCGAATAGTCCACTCATCTAAGACACGAGCAGCCAATTTATTTAGGCTGCTGTGGGAGACAGTGCCAAAGGCTTTACTAAAGTCTAGATAGACAGTATCTACAGTCTTTCCCTCATCTACTACGTGGGTCACTTTGTCATAGGAGATCAGACTGGTCAAGCATGATCTTCCTTTCATAAACTAATGTTGGCTGGCCCCGATCCCCTGATTGTCCTGCATGGCATCCTGGCACTCAGGGTGATCTCTTCCATAATGTTGCCTGGAATCAAGGTCAGGTTGACTGGCCTGTAGTTCCCCAGGTCGTCCTTCTGACCCTTCGTGTAGATGGGCGTTACATTTGCCACCTTCCAGTCTGCTGGAACTTCTCTGGTTAACCAGGACTGCTGGCAGATGATTACAAGCGGTTTGGCAAGTTCTTTTGCCAGTTCCCTCATTACTCTGGGGTGAATTTCACCAAGGCCCATAGACTTATGAATATCTAGTTGGCAAAGCAAGTCACCAGCTGTCTCCTCCTGGATTATGGGGCTTCACTCAGCTCCCCGTCCCTAACTTCCAACTCTGAGGGCTGGGTGTCCTGGGAACAATTGGTCTCGATATTGAAGACTGAAGCAAAGAAGGCATTGAGCACCTCTTTTTCCTCATCCCTCTGACAGTACACTACCCTCTGCATTCAGCAAATGATGGAGACTCTCCTTGACCCTCCTTTTACTGCCAATGTAAGTACTGAAAGTAAAGAACTGAAAGTATCATGTATCCCTTTGGAACTCATTTGCATCTGTGATCAAATTGAACTCCTTAATCAGTAGTGAGGACAGAGTTAACTACAACCTTTTCCAGTCAAGGGCAAATTGAACATATGCAATACTAAACTGAAACAATGAATTCTTAGTTTTTCACAGGACTCTTAACTACAAAAACATGACTATGAAGTACAATTCAGGTTTCCTGGAGCACTTCACTAGCCCAACAAAACAAACTCTTCTTTTTCTCCCCCAAGTGCTGGACAGTTTCCTGCTCTGTACGTGAGCTCAATTGGTTCATACTTCTCCCTTCTTAGAGGAACACCAGGGTTCACAGAAGGGGCAGAAGGTAATTTTTTACTGGCTGGAGGGAAGGACATGGAGGAGCAAAATGTTTCCCTTTCAGCAAAGCAGAAAATGAGTCAACAGACCAAGGTTGCAATTTCACAGACAGTCCAACTTTCTTTTTGTTTCATGTATAGTTAGAATGTGGTAAATAATCACAGAATGGAGACTGGACAGGGGCATTTTTGTCAGTTACAGAGCAATGTAAATTCCTGGGAATTCAGAAACCAACAGAGACATCTAGAAAGCAGACAGCCACCACATTTCCTTTGAGAATGGCTCCAGACTTTTCTGTGAGCCAGAATGCATGTTGACCTTATCCAAATGAAAATTATCTTATAATGCAGGTATCTCTGATGATTTAGAAGTGATATACGTAGAAATGGTACTTCTGCACACTGCAGCATCTACTTGTTGGTTTTAAGGGTAGAAGAAAATAAGATTAGCATTTGCTTGTGATTTGGCCCACACTATTATATCCTGAAGTCTCTCCTCACCTAGCATGTTCTGTGTCCCTTTCAAATGCAGTAACATGTATGAAGATGGACAGGGACGTGCAGTTTTGCAGTCACTCAGAAAGTGTGGAGAAAAAGCTATCCTTAGTGTTTTACCCCTAGTGACAATCAAAGTATTTCAGACTTCAGAACAAATCGGAACCCAGAAAGCAAGATTTTTTGATTTAAAAGTTGTTAACCTAATGCAACAGATTCACAAACTTGTTCTGGTAATTCCTGCTACAACTGGCTTCCAGGAAGAATATTACATCTGGACAGAGTATAACTGCATGAATAGTATAGTCTTACCTGGAAAAGCCACTTTAGAATTGGTATGGGACACAAGATACAACTGTAAGCAGAACTTAGAAAATGATTAATAGCTAAAGAAAGCTGCTGTGTCGCACCAGAACTGTAAGACAAAGACGGAGGTGGGGAAAGAGGGGGGGGGCATAAAACAAAAAAACAAACAAACAAACAAAAAAATCAATCAGTGGTTGAATCAGCACTTTCACAAACATCTAAGAACTTCCCCACCCCTCAGGTAATCATCAACAGCAAACAAAGATCTGAACATCTAAAACAGATGTTATTCTTATGCTCTTACGTACATGAAATGCTACAGTAACTAAACTTCATTTGTTATTTAGAACAATTGTCTTTTTCTCCAGAATGCCATGCTATATAATTTGGAAACATTTGTATTATTAGAGAATAACAGCTTCAGACAAACATTGATTTACACTATTGTACCATGAACCGTTACACCTGTCTATACAGATGGGCTGCTATGCTCAATGAGACCAGAGAATAAGATTTTTAACTGTCCAATGACCTTTACCAACACTTTTAGAAAAGAGGAAAAAACTTTGAAATTTTTTAAATAGTCTTTTAAATAAAGAGTCTGGACGCAAACTAAAGCAATTAAAATCAAACAGTCTAAACTCACTGTGCAAATTTGTGAGGTGCAAAAAATAGCTCTTGGAAGAACAGAAAATACGTCATTTTTGTTATGGAATTATTTTAGCTTTAGTCTTCTTTAGAAAGTCAGGTATGTCATAAGCAGCTGAATTAATGATATCCAGTTTCTCACATACCCTTCTTTAGTCTCCTATGTTCTCAGTATCTACTAAAACAGGTAGCTCCGAGAGATGTGTCCTAACTTTTCCATATACCCTCTGCCTGTCCCACTAAGCAAGTGGCTAGGAAGACAAAGATGTGCCAACTGGACAGTCAGTACATGCCAGCTGGGCAGAATGCATAAGCAATTAAATCATAATTGCCTTCTGCAAGGGATGATTCGTTTAATCCTCATTCCCCTAGTCACTGATTTACAAGATACTTATGAAGCTTATATCCTTGTGATCTTCAAAACATATTAACAGAGGCCTGAAGCCAAAGGAATATATCACAAACATCACTTCCTCCAGAGATGAGGAGCAGCCACCCTCCTCCTCTTCACACCCACAATAGCACATACACACGTATACAAAATCCTTTAAGATTAATTTAATTTTCTGTTTCACTGATGTAAATTTGGAATAAAATGCCAACTGAAACAACCAGAGTTTTTCCAGATTTGCACTTGTGGTATTAGGCAAGAATTTGTCCAGCTATTTGTAGCCTGACAGCCTCATAAATATAGAATACAGATCCCTATGAATTACAGAACAGTTGTTTATATACACACAGACACACCACTAGTGTAGTGACTTAGTCTAACAGCTGTCAGAAATCGTGACTTTCTGCAATCCTCATTAGGTGGAGCCCTCAATCCCAGGCCCATTCAGGATGAAAATATGTAAAAGTCTTTCAGCAGCCATAATGCAACATTAGTAGGTCACAAATCAGTTCACCACAAAGGTCTTCTTTCCGTCTTGGGATAGTTAAGCTTTTGTTCATTATAACATTTCACTTCTGCATTTATCTTCCACAAACTGGTCAGATTATCAATGACAGTCCAACACAGTAGAAATATGGAAGAGGCCAGAACACCTATTTTTTCCATTATGTCTCCTTTAAGATGTTTTTCAAGAATCCCAGAGAAGGAAAGAAGGAAGCTTCAAGTAACAATTCACTGTTCTGTAAAGCTAACCTGGAAAGCGGAACTCCACGGAAAGGGAGTCAGTCTTGCCTACTTAGTAAGACAGAGCTCACTTGTGTGCAAAGATACTACTTAATCTTAAGAACTGCTAACACTGAAGAAAATCATACAAGTAAACACAACAGAGTGAAGAGCATATTATTACCTAAGAAGGAGCTTTTCTATAGGATTTTGAGGGACGAAGTGAAAATTCCTCAAGTCAAGGTTATACTGATTGAAGATTTTCCCAGAGGTTGTTAAATCAAATATATCTTCTCCAGGGTGGTAGTCAGGTATGGCATGAGCTACTACTGAAAATCTCTTTATAAACGCCCTGTAAAATTCAAAATTGCTTTTATGAATTTAAACATTGAGAGGCTATTTGCTGGTTGAGACAGTTATTTTCATCCGAACACATCAGCCTCATGTGAAAACTCGATTGTTAAATTACAGTAATGTCCAATAAAATCCACCCAACCTCAAAAGACAATAAAAATGGTTCACAGCAAACATATTAACAACAATTGATGGAAAGAGTGAAAGATTAGGAAAAAAGGCTAAAAAAGTGAAGAACTAGATTTAATTAGTTTTGGAGTTGGAAGGACCTGTGTTCTTCTGAGAGATCTTCCTCTCCACTGCCATTCTCCTCATCGTCATCTGAAGAATCAGTCTCCCTGCCTTGTATGTCTTCCTGTAACCGCTTTTCTAGTTCATCTACCCTGAAATAACAGCAGCAGCAGAACATATCATCACCATTTCGTATTTACAATAGAAGACAACAAAATTTAAGCTCTGAATGTGAACCCAGGAGTCAGCAGCCAATTACACATGGCTAAAGCAGCGAGACATTGCATCTGTGTAAAAAAACCCAAGCACCTTGCTATTCCAAGATACAAAGTAGAAGTTTCACAAAACCTAATGAATTTCCAACAGCACCATCAAGCACTAGTTTGTCAGAGATAAATACACTCAACTAACTTCTGACAGAATTTTTTGAAATTGCCTAAAACTTTCAATCTTCTGGTTGAAATTTTTTTTTTAATTTTTTTTTAAACCTCATAGTAGTATTTTATTTGTTAAATAGTATTAGTTATATAGGAGTATTCACTACTCCATACTCAATCAGTCCAGTTACTAGGGTCAGATTCTTTAATCAAAACAGTTAATCACACATATACACCCATCACCATCACTTGCCATTTGTACACATACTACATGACACTTTCTACCTATCTCTTGCAAGAACACTCATTAGTTCTGTTCACTGAAATGTGTAACTACTCAGAAGCCAATAGTCTACACAGCTTTGGAAACCAAAACCAGGCTACAAATGCCTTTGAAGAAACTAGTACAGTCTACATGAATACTTCTATTTCATGCCTGACCAGCAGCTGCTAGTTGGCTCAGCAACCTATAACAAAGGCATCAGTAAATTTAGTTTGGCTCTTCAGAGGTAGAGAGATACATCACAAATCACTCATTACTGCTTGGAAGGAGACTGTCATTCAGCTTTTACAGTTAAGCCGCACTTGTAGGTCCAGTCAGATGTATGTTGGTAGCACCAGCAGGCAAAGTTTAGCTTACTGCTACCCAAACTCCATCAGTTTTGGGGAGACGAGGTAAATCTAAGTTTCTACAACTCCATCCCAAGTTTTTCAAAGCAGCTTTAAGAAACAAACCTTTTAGATTCTTCTTTCTCCTTCAAGAGATGTTCTAAGCTGTTTACATATGACACCTGGCTAACAACAGGAGGCTTAGAAAGCTGTAAATGAAATAGTAAGAAATTAAAAAATATACCACAAGCTACTAATTCATCCAGTATTAGACATTAAACAATCAAAATAGAAATCTGTTCCAATTTTAATGCTATTTTACCTAAAGAGAAAAACTCAAAGGAGACCCTGAAAAACAGGACAATTAACAGTTTAGGTTTCTCAGTCTCTTGACAATTGTATACAATGGTCAAATCTTTCTCAGTGATTTAGAAGTAACTGTGCTTCGTGATGGATCTGAGCAGCAAAGCAAGTCTCTGCTGCTCTCCCTGGGGCTGACCTCCAGCTAACCTTCACAAAGAGCATTAGAATCAGAAGCTTTTTACCTCACAGCTTTATTATTATCATCCACTGAGACCCTGGGAATCTCTATTCTCATGCATGAGACAAACTCCAAAAATGATTCAGTACCTCTTGTTATTTCCAGGAGTCCCTAGACAGCAAAGCACTAGTGTTTGCTAAATCACTTCCAAAATCATCAGACAAAACAAAGCTTCCAATCAAAATCGTAATACAAACTCAAATTAAGAAGCTAATAAAATAGAATTAAAAACCAAGACACCACACAAAGAAAGTCTTAACTGCTAGCAAAATTATTTTCTTTTTCAGTAGCCAGTGTTTTATTCAGCTAGTAGCAAATAACACAGATTTGAAGTCTTTTATGGCCATGATTCAGTTCTTTGGACGAGCGGTGCCCTTCTGACACCACCTTCTTAAATTGCAAGCCTCTTACTAGTGGCAAAGCTTCTTCCTATGAGCTCCTTCATTTTAGGAGAACACAATTCAGTAAGAGCATACCCTCTCATTGGGGATTTTCTATTACTCAAAGGTAACAGAAGTTAGTTTAAGAAGTTAGTGTCCACCTGCTAATAAAAAAGCCCACAAATACAGCATTAATTTCTGGTATTCAGAGATCTCTTTCAAACGTAACAAGCAGCATGTCTTTGTGCAGGAAATCTTGTGGGAAAGCTGAAGACCTCTTACCTTATTTCATATCTGGTTAATACGCCTAAAACAACTGTTGAACAACTGAGGAATCAAGACTCTATTCCAATGTGCGCATATGCTCCTTCTTACAAGACAAGAGAAGAATGCTAGTATTTGCAAAAACTATAGTCATGGAAATTTTGAGACAGTTCTTAACTGTTTTATCTTACTTGGCCATTCATTAAGCAGAAACAGGATAGGCTAAATGTTATGGTCACATACATGTTCCACAAACTTTGATCTAGGCTGCATCTGTTTATCAGTCTTAACTATTAATTATGTAGACATGTTGGTTAAGATTGTGGAATATGTATGTAATCACAGAAGTCTGATCTATAACATGCTTTCATAATGAATTGTAAGGACAGATAAAAATAATTATAGCTGTTCAACATCTGCCTACAGAGATAGTACCTGAGACAACAAACAAACTGTTTCAGAAATTTAAAACCAGAGGAGAGGAGGAGAAGAGTATTTATACAGATATTCTGCTGTTTGTTTCCTACTGTAGAAAACAGCAGTGGGCTGACCCCAACCAGCAGCCAAGCACCACACAGCTTGTTCATTTCCCCGCCCAGTGGTGCAAGGGAGTGAATAAGAGCAAAAGCAAGAAAACTCATGGGTCAAGATAAAGACGGTTTAGTAAGTGAAGGAAGAGGGGACAAGGGGGAAAAGAAAAAGTGATGCAAAGGCAATCACGCAGCACCTCCCACAAGCAGAAGGATGCCCAGCTAGACTCCAAGTAATGGCAACATGCCAGACCAACTCCCCCTGCTTGGCTTTGATTGCTGAGCATGACACTACATAGCATGGAATACATCCCTTTGGTCATCCGGCGTCAGCTGCCCAGGCTCTGTCCCCTTCCAACTTTCTGAACACTCCAGCCTACTCACTGCGGGGGTAGAGTGGGAAGAAGAGAAAGCCTTGATGCTGTGCAAGTACTGCTCCACAACAGCCAGAAGACTGGTCTTTTATCAACACTGGTTTTGTCGAAAACACACAGCGCCGTACATCTGTTACTAAGAAAATTAACTTCCATCCAGCCAGACTCAGTGCAAAATCTTTTTATTTAAATGCAGCCATTTCCAACCTGTACCAACTTTGTCAGGAGTGCCACACTAAGTCCCACTGCAGGACCTTCCTAATTAAAACATTATTTTACAATAAAACTTAAAAATCATTACTTATTTGACAAGCTGTTATTGAACAACTAGGCTAACTTTTAAAAACACAGATCACTTCATCACCGTAACGTCCGGTAAATTGGGATTCAAACAATTCATCTATCCCCTGTGAGCAGAAGTAGTCATTCAGCTTTTTGGAAGTATTTTAGAAATCCCTTCTAAAATACTTCCAATTTCCATGAAATTCAACCTCAAAGAAAACATCACACTTACAGATCAAGAACTTGTACATAGATTTCTGACAATCACAGACTGTGACTGAAGAGCCTAAATTCATCCCAGCTGTGTCCCCTCCCAACTTCTCGTGCACCCCCAGCCTACTTGCTGGCAGGGTGGTGTGAGGAGAAGAAGAGGCCTTGACACTGTAAGCACTGCTCAGCAATAACTAAAACATCCCTGTATTATCAACAGTTTTCAGCACAAATTCAAAACATAGCTTTATACTAGCTACTATAAAGAAAATTAACTCTACTTCAGCCAAAACTAGCACACCTGATCATGAAAATGAAAACATTAGATCCCACACATCTTCTAAATGTAGCGTCCTGCATTTTTCTTTGGGGGGAAGTGGGGAAAGCAAAAATGGAACTCCTAAAAACCACCAAAAGGCATACAGCTAATGCATTCCGGCTGCACAAACCATCTGTCAGCCATTCTGAGGACAAGCACGGTAACAATCACACCCTTTCTCTGACTACATTGCACTGCACAGCATAGGACCCTGAAACTGAGTAACCAGTTTTGCAGGCAAATAACTCCGACTTCTCATGCATTATGAATAAAGGAAAAAAATCATATAAAAAACCCAACATAACAAAACTGATGCAATGCTTGCTTTTTTTTTTTGTTTTTAGCTACTTACATGAAGCTTCAGTAATGAAGTCATGGTGTCCTGAGAAAAACTGTCAAGACAAGATTCTTCCAGGGTTCCTGCCTGTGGCTTGGGATTTGAACAGAGAATTTCTTGCAGTGGCACGAATACTTCATCATCATCATCATCATCTAGACTGCATTTCAAACTCTCATCTTCGCTATCAAAGCTGCTTCTTGATTTTCCTTTCAGCTTGCGCTTGTCTGTATCAATGCTTTCAACTTTTAACTCTCCTGAGAGTTGTGAAGATACATGGCTGCTGTCCATGCACCCTTCTTTAAAAGGCAATGAACAGGGAACAGTTTTACCAGTCTCTTCTGAGAGTGCAGGTTTCCCAGAACCTTCCACTGAACAAGAACCAGAAGCATTTTTTGAAGTCTTGTCTTTTGTTTTTGAAAAACTGTTGCTGGATTGAATACTGTAAGCTTTATCATGTGCACGTCTTTCTGGTCTTTTCCCAACTTGCTCTTTCTTAGCGTCCAATACCTGAGATAGGGCAGCATTCTGGAGATGAGACTTCACACCTTTTGATTGTGTTAAGTGGTGAAGAGAAGGCAATACAGTACTTTTTTCCTGAGAAAAAGGAAGGGACTTTTCCAAGAAAAAGCGTGAGTTAGCCACCTGCAATTGATTTTCTTTGGTATCCACAACAGAAATGTGGTTAATTTTACCAGGACTGTGTGCAGAATATGAAGATGACAAACCTACAGAGGAGCAATTATTTTTCTCATTTTCATCACTTGAATTGAGGTATTCCTCTGGAAGAGCAGAATCATGTCCAGGTAGAGGAGCAGCCTCCATTAGTTGCAGAACATCACCACAAGTAGACTTTAAAAGGATATTTTTTACAAAGTCAGATCTCCTATTTTTGCATTTTGCAGATGATCTGCTAAAAGCAGGGTCATTCAAACTTGATACTTCAGATTGATTTGAACTATCTGCATCCACATTCATGGCAGTATGTTTTCTTTTCCCAGGAAAGTCTATTTGTTTGGATCGCTCAGAAGACATCTTGGATCTAAGGCAGCATGAAGGAACAGACTGGCTTTTCCACCTATCAGCAGCCATCTCAGATGATGATCTCAGTGCATTTGGAGAAGATGCCTCATGTTTTGAAACCTGCTTCGGCTTTGGTTGAGGCAGGTCATCTATAAAGTGTTTGAGAAAAAAGTAAACCACTATTGTCACGTTTAAGAAAAAAAATAAAATTCAAAACCATAACAGCTTACCCTTAAAAAACGTAACATCTGTTTTTAAGTCAACTATGACTGAATTTTTTATCAGAAACTACAATACTTCCATTCTGCTTGATCACAGTGGACGACAGTTAAGATTTAGCTGACACTGTACTGTTACGTTGTTATTGTAACTAACTTGGAAATGAAATTAAATCCTTTTATTTTAAAGCAGCTCAACAGCCACCGTTAGAAAGCTTTTTCTACACACTAGAATCAATCGGTCTTTGGAAGCAGGTAATAGCCCAGCTGAGGTATGGGACTGGAAGAAAGTTTCTATAATTACATAATATGGTTATAAACAATGAACAGTATGAAACGTATTTTGGAAATCCTGCAATAATTTTAACAGTAGTCATGAAAAAGGCATTCAGAATGTATGAAGAAATCTGTTTTCAGGCTACGGTTCTATGGCATCAGAGTCCACCTTCCTCACCATACTTCTTTGCTTTCTGCCTTAAGCTGGCACTAGCACCTGGACACTTCGTGGCAAGCTACTTCAAGGAGCTGATGTGGCTGACAACTTCCCAACTCAATTTTCAGCCAGATCAGTTCCTCACACTGCTGGCCAAGTCCCAGTGCTAGCACAGACGGAAAGTGAAGCATAGCAGCAGAAAGTCTGAAAGGTTTTTCACAGACATGGATCCATAACATGGGAATACTCTCCTCGTTTTGGGTTCCCCACCTCCTTTTTTTTTTTCTGTTTTTAAAAAAATCACCCTATTGACCTAGCTCAAGCTTCTATTCACCTCAGTTTTTATATTCAGTTCTACCTACTGCAGAAGAAAACTACGTGGTTAAAAGGGACAAAAAGGAACAAGAATACCAGTTAAACTTTAGTGTTTGGTTCAACAAGAATGCTTTTTTTGGATTAAGCTGAAAGGCAAAATCTGTTAACCACCACAGTGAATGCACATTTTCCAAAATGCAAGAGAAATCATAAAAATAATCAGGGATTAAGGGCTTAGGACAAAGAAATATCATGACTTCTAATTAAGTAATAATCTGTTTTTCACTAAAATCCCAAATTACTTTTAAACCTCTTCAAGCTTGCTACATATTAGAAATAACCTGGACTATACAGCAATGATTTTTTTTGAGAGAGGGAAAACAGAAAAACACAATTTCAAGGAAACAATGCCATTAAAAAGAGACACTAAGTGACAAACCTGATTGTTTAATTAATTCCATATTATCAGCACTACTTCTACCTGAGGCAGTCTCCCTTGAACCAGAATGGCTGAACCTTAAAGGACATCCATTTCCCTAAAAACACAGACGGAGAAAATAAAAAAGTTAATTGTATACTTTTAAAAACCAAGATGTTGACATCTTGAGCCAGGTGTTGAATCCAGCACAGACTTAGTTCCACACACCCCAAGAAATATGGTAATATACTTCATTTCAAGACAAACTTAAAACACAGCTGCAGAGATCTCAAGAAAAGGACTCTCCACAACCCAAATTTTATATATTTTCTTCAGATTGGCCTCCAGTTCTAAATCTTTTCACTTTTAGAGCTGTTAGCTACTTGCGTCCCTGGGCTACATGGCAACATAAGCCACCTGGCTTTTCTCAAACAAGTCATCAGGAACTTAAAGAACAAAAGGACAGAAAGCACAGACAAGCAAATACAGAGGGAGGGGTGCTAAGGAGAAAACAAAACACAAGCTAACCAACCTTTTTTCTTCCATTCACAGTGCATTATGGAGGCACACATAATGATTTTCCTTGCAAGTAACCAGCAACCTTTTAAAGCATTTTCTTGGTTGGTAAAAAAGTGAATATAATTCAACCTGTACATACTTCATAGTACCACTCCTACTTCTGTCTAAATACTGTGGCTTAAGTGCATAAATCTAAACTGCTATTAACTGCAACTTCTAACAAGCAGAAATTTGCCAGGCTGTTCCCTATACTACATTGTAAGAAAACACAAAGTTATAAGGCATTTAAGATAGACTTTTTTCTACAAAATACAATTTAAAGTTACAATTTCCATTGCATTTCCATGTTTGCATCTCACCCAGAATAACTCCTCTGTTTTTACACCAGGATTTCTCATTTATTGTAAAATAGTTGAGAACCGGCTTACCCAAGCATGACCTAAAATTTACAAAGGAATAGCAAAAGAGCATAAATTTTTCTTACATCTGAAAAAGGCAGCACCAAGAATCTCATCCTACATTGAAAAATAAAATTAAAAAAAAAAATCACATGCACAATGGGTCACTGATTTCCACCTTCAACGACCCTTTTAAACACACCTGATGTGATACACCTGCTCCTGAGAATGGCTTTACAGGATGTGGCTTAGATTGTTTCATTCTATGTTTCTTCTGCTTTCTTTCTCTGCAGAGAGGTTCCAGTGACAACCTAGATTTAGACTCAGTTGGAGTGCAGGGCAATTTCATGGGAAGACCTGGGTTTTGGCACAGAGACGTGTTGTTCCCAGTGCCATTATTTCTAGCGCGGGCTTTTTGAGTATCAGCTTCTGACAGTGAAACCCATCTGTCAGAGTCTGAACTACTGTCTTCTAGATCCATAGAGTCAGTTTTCTGTTCCCAACTATTTCCACAAGACAATGGTGCTCTTGTTACACCCAGACACTTCTCATTTCTTCCCTGTTCCGACTTAACAGTTTTATCCTTTTTGGCCAAGAAACAGCTGTGAGACCCTGCAGTAACAAGGAGTTTTTGAATCACAACTTTTGGATACAATGAATCCAGCGCCTTGCATGCTCTGCCATTCTCTAAAATGTTTACACTGTCCTTTTTCTTTTTAATTCCTCTCTGAAAGGCATCTACCACAGGACTTGTGTTTGGTGTTTGGTCTGGCATCTTTCTTCTTCGGACCTTCTTTGGAGAAGATATTTTCTTTTCAAAACGTTCAGCACATAAAACTGAAAGTCTGATTCCTGCATCTTTTACATTTCCTCTGTCTGGTGAGCACAACACAGTTCTGTCTTTATGGCTAAGGTCTAAGAGAGAAAAGACAAATTATTCACAATTACAATATTGAAAAAAAAAAACCCACACCTCCCCCCCAAAAAAAAACATATTGGACTGTATTACTTCGTATTGCCTCTCTCACACGCAATCCAAAATGAATTTACTGAATCATTTCGTTTTGCTAGTGCCATGCGATTTATTTCATATCAAAGAATTGCATGATCTATGTCACAGCTTGAGTTGTTATAAACAATCTAGCTTAAGCATGAGACAATAACTTGAAATAATAATTACACCACTATTTAAAGAAATTAATTTTAATAGGAAATCAACATTTTCAGTTACATTATTAGAAAAAAAATTAAATGTGTGCACTTTGACATATTTGATAAGCTATACTCATTATATTGCTGCTCCAACTTGGAATGAGATTGGACTATACTTCCGCACATTTATAAAATTACAACTTGTATAAATATCTTCCATTTAAAAACCACATATTTACCTTGGTTTAAAACTGGTTTGAAGAAATTGGTAATGGTCTGGTTTCTGAAAAGAAAACAAAATTTTATCTTTTTAAAAGAACAATACCTAAATGCTCATACAGTGAATATTGATAAAATTAAAACGGTGACATTTATTTCTACAGATTTTGTTTTCATGCCAGCACTTCTTACTTCTGATAGATCAGAGAAAGCATCATCATCCTCATTGCCTTCTAGCCTTCACTCTACTTGGCTAATGAAGCCAACCTGTCAGTTTCCTCGCTCAAACTGTTTACTTCTTCATCCTAGTAAGTCTTAGCCACCCTTCCAGCTTAAACTAAGCATTCTTAAATGGGACTGAGCTCACTTGTATCCAGTATTCTAGATGAGACCTCACCAGTATCTTATGTGATGATGTTAAGAACCTCCCCATCTTCACTGTCAACACTTTGAGCTGGTAACTCCTACTGTAATTTTTTTTTTTTTTTTTTAAGGTGTTAGAGTGGTAAGCAGCTGGCCTTGTCAATACCATCAGTGACCAAACCCTCTTCAATGCCATTATTAGTTGCAATCAAGTCTAACCATAAAGTTCTATCTGCAAGTTGTGAAGTTCAACTAACCCTGTAACTTTCTTCTTGTTGTCCAATACCCTTTGTTCACCACTGTTTGGTTGTTTGGGTTTTTTTCCACACATCTGGTGCCAGGCTGGGATGTAAATTCCTCTCTGAACTATTACCAGACTCCTCAGTGGGAACTTGTACCAGCACTGCCCCTTAACAAAACACACATGTCAGTGGCCTGCCTCCCTCCCAGCACACGCTGTGGGCACCTTCTGGCTTCCAACAGAAACAGCAGCCTACAACCATCTTGGTTTTTATACATACACAACGAGATAATTAATAGCTTTAAATCATTGGTGTTTTCTCTGGTAAGAATAAGTGGGATGTGAGAATATCAAGGCATTTATCCATAAGAGAATGTCACTTCTAAAAATGGGCAGATTGTCCAAGTAACGTACAATTTGAACATTAAAATACATGAAGAACTATGAACTTGCTATCTTCATCTTCTCCTGCATAGCAAGGAAGTTTACTAACAACTTCATGGTTATACTCGCTCCTGGTTTGGAAGTGGCTCTTCAAGTTGCAGCAACATATTGGTGTGAGAAAGCAAGAATAATACTAATTTGTTTAAGACCTTCTTCCATCTTTTGTAATCTTTCTGTGCCTTCCAAAAGAAAGCTACATTGTTACTGACCATGTAACAGTGAATACAAAGACAAAAGTTATTTATTCCAGATTATAAGTTTACATATTCAAGCATCCATACACGTCCGTGCTTTCACAGACTCAATAACCATTTTTGAAGTTCAGGCCAGAACTCCTCACTGCTCACTTGTTCAAACTAGACTTGGATTTCATTTTGAATCTTTCTGTGAGCTTGTTACTTTCATTTTTGCATTTTCTAATGTGGCTTCTGCATTTTTAGCACCTACAAATGCAAAAAGCTCTTTATAACACATTGATACTTGTTTAAGCAAGCTACTGGCAACCAGCGATGTTTGAGAATACTGTATCTCAATGAAAAGTAATCAGAATCACTAACCTGTAATCAGAATATGTGAGTGCATAAAACTCCTTTTAGCTTACCAGAGAGAGCAAAAAAACTACTTCTCAAAGATTACAAAGAGCAAGGCGCTCTCCACTTTGCATTCCTCAGGGTACTCCCAATGCTTACTTGTGACTGCTCTCGCAGCTGCAAAATCATCCCATGCCCACAGCTTTCTGCACTGCATATCTTTCTAAAACCCTTCTATCTCCCTAACTAAGCAACCGTATGTACCTCTTCCTCCCACGTTAAAGCCCCATCTACAATACAAACCATTGCTGGTAGTCCAAATCTTATCTTCAGTTACCTCTCAGATTCCTCTCCGCACTTGAATCTTGAAGACAAAGCAATACCAAAACCAAAGCTTTCTGCTGTCGTCTTCCTTCTTTCCATAGCCACTGATTACAAATAACTGCTCCTCCCCCTCCCACATCCACTATCTCATTGTTGTATCTTTTTGCTGGTTTTATTCTAAACACAAGAGCTTTGTAACAAAATTCATCCTTGTTCCATAATTACACAGAACCTTATATAACACAACTGAGAGAATGAAGGCACTGCTGCCAAAAAAAAAAGCAGCCTTTTTTTTTTTCCCGCTGGGATAAAAGTTTAACTTCAATGGAGAGTGATTTGTCTTAAACGCTTTAAAACAAATAGTGTATCCATTGACATTTTCTACTTTGCATTTGTAATTCTGCTTTTTCAAAGTGCAAGGAATAGGAACTGTCCAACTAAAACAAAATAACAATACAGCACTTGAGAAATTATATCTCAGACAAGGAAGCATACTAAGCATACTGGAAACTTCAAACAAAAGCAAAGGGTGGAGAAAATAAAAGAAAGCATGCAATACAGTACAAGGAGGAACACGAGAAAATACTGGGCTTTCCAACCTGCTTTTCATATATATGAAAGGACAAAAAGACCATGTGATTTTCTACGTGAACAGGATCATAACTGTTCACAAACTATTCACAGGAGGATTTCCACTATTGTTTTAATACAAGGTCAAACAGCCAGCCCTAAAAGAATTAAGAACTGATGAAGGAACAGTAATTACTAGTTTTCACTCTTTTTTACCTGACATGAAAGTCACAGTTGTTTAATGCATCTTTGTCAACAACTACATAGCTCTGGCTAACTTTTCAGCAAAATATATAAATCAGCAAAACATATTTACCTCCACTAAAAATTATTCCACCATTTTTTGTGAAATCTCATCTTAACTGAGACACCAGGGAGACCACTAAAAAACCTAGCTAAGAAAAGGCAAAACCCTTAAATACATGATCCCACTCAACAAAGAAAAAAACTACACAGCCAGGAGATGCACTTAACAGACCCTCCAGGTCTTTCAAAATTAAGAGCACAACATACGTGAAAGAGGTAGGGAGGAAATTCTTTCACTTGTTTAAAGAGACAACCCCCTAAGTATTCTTTAAAAGTAATCCGTGTTTACAGCCATATCAGTGGTTATCTCTAATTGGATAAAAACTGTACTTTTAAAAATCCACGCTGGAAACACTAGCAATAGCTCAGAGAAAGCAAACCCACACAACATAGGATTACACTACAAAATGTAACTACATCTTTGACAAAATGGAGCATCTTCAAAAGCACTGTAGAAATAACAAGAAACCCTCAACAAAGCAACCCACAACAGAAAGTCATACACAAAATCTCAAAACAGTCTTAGATAACCACAGCAAAACCAGAACACACGAGTAGTTTCACTTTCTTGGGCAAGAAGCAACATAGAAGAGGAACTGAACTTTCACCTTCTCCTTTTCCTTCAAATGCCAATTCTATCAAAAAAAGAGGATCCGCAGAAATGAACAAAATAAGGTGCTGCTAATGGCATAAGAAAATTGACTTGACTCATACTGCAAGAACAAAATTTATTTAATTCAGCAGCCTCTGAAAAAAATCAAGTCTTTGGCAGAATTTGGATTTCTAGTTGGTAGACAGGTTCGTCATGTCTAAAAACCATCACCGACGGACACTGCCTTCATTGGAGACCTTGTCCTCCAGTATCCTTAGCAGTACTGTTCACAGCTGGAATGGGCTTGAAAGCTGAATCAATGACAACTTAAGCTCCTTCTTTACAGCCGAACCACTAAAGCCTACCGAGCTCTACAGGTAGACTTGCTAACAAACACCAAGACATAAAATGGGAGGACATATGGGTACATGTTGGAGGACTCACATATTTTGGATGATGGGTTGAAGATACTAGTCAGTACTTAGCTGGACGTTTTCTTCAGTTTCTTTGTATGCTGTCAGGTTGCCTGGCTATCAGAGCTTTCACCTTGGCCAACAAACTATCAGCACCACATGAAAACAAGGGCTAGAGCCTCATGGATGAAACCCCCACAGGTACGAGTACGGATAAGGAGGGCACCGGCCGCCCCTCGCGACTGGC